TTTCAGGAAAAAGGAGCCTGTTTGTGTCCACATGTGATTTCTTCGCGCGTAACTGAACCGTAAGTGGTATCTCACCTGTGGGATCAAGGACAAAATCACCGGTGCTGAGGGATCCACACACAGAAGCAAAGACGCGTGCCAAACAAGAGCCCGATCAGGAGGCTCGTGGCCATGAACTCGCCACCTCTCCCACCCCCCACCAACATCCACAGGGTCCTGGAGAGTCAGAGCGTGTGGCCCTGCCCCTCAGCTGCGCCCCCTGGGGGTTCTCGCTGCCCCAACTCCCTGTGTCCCTAGAGGAGCTTGGCACCCAGGGCGCCCGCCCCCACCCCCCCATCAGCGGAGGGCTGCAGAAGTGCTGCTCTGGGAACTGGTCTTCGGGTCTGAATGCCATCGGACAGGCAAAGCCATCAGACAGGCAAAGGACTTCCTTTTGTTTGTTTAACTAGATGGCCAAAATTCTAACGCCGGTGAGGGCTAGTCCCATGTGTCCTTTCCCACCTGCCCTATCTGTGCACAGAGGCCTGGAGACGTGGGGGGAATGAAAGTCTGCAACGTGGCTGCCTCCTTCAGGCTTCCTCCACCGTGCAGCCTGCCAGGCTAGCGGCACCAGGGCACCCTCGAGGGGACTGTGATGGAGACCTGGCCCGGCAGCAAGGCCGGTGTCGTCTCCCTGGCGGGCAGAGTGCCTCTGGGCTTGTTTTGGGGAGGGTCCTCACCGCCAGCGGCAGGGGCTCCCCGCTGTGGTTGAAGGCGTGCTCGAACACCACGGCAGCCAGCACGTTGGAGGAGCGGTTGTCATACCTGATGTAGTCCTCAAAGTCCTTCTCCGAGCGGAAGCCCCGGGCTGTGGGAGAGCCGTGAGCTGCCCGAGCGCCCGCTCCCCTCAGCACTCTGGCCGCTGCGGGTCACGTTCAGAGAAAAGACCGCACACGGACAGGTTTCTCTCGGGCTTGTCCTGTCCTCCGGGTCAGGGAGGCTTTCGTTTTGGGCAGAGAGACCAGTGGCAGAGGGCCCCGGCACCCCCACCCCTGACCCCGTGCGGGAGGCTGTGGGGGGGGTCGCGGAGAGATGAGTGGACGCTAACGTAATGGGTCACAAGGTTTCTCTGTCACCAGACCCCACTCCACACGAAGGGCTTCCCCGTTGTCACCCAGTGAGGGCCAAGGGCCCCTTCCTGAGGGTTACATGCCTAAGTCGAGAGGCTGGGAAGGGATAAAGCAGAGAGGGAGGGAAGGGACAGCAAGCGCACTGGAGTGTCCCTTGGCAGGCTTCCCGACGCCCCCTAGCGCTGTCCCCCCGCAGCCACGTCCCGCACGCTCACGGTGCACCTCGCCCTCGTGACTGAAAAGCTGTGCTAAGGCCACCGCGAGTGACGGGGGCGGTTCCGGCACCCGTGCTGCTGCCACAGGCACACACGTGCCTCCACTTGGCCCTCACAAGCCTGTTCCCCATTTCAGGACGAGTGACCCTCCAGCCGGCCGGGGCTGCTCCCCCAGACCCGAGCCCCCCAACCTGGCACAACGGGGTCCAGAGGACACCTCACCTCTCATATTGATGACCAATGCCCTCCGTGCCGTCTCCGTGATGGTCTTCACGGCGTCGCTGTGGGATGGGACGTAGGCGAGCTCCCAGGTGTCACCGGGAGGGGGGAAATTGAAGAACAGGGGCAGCTCCTGGATGGACTGGCCGGGGTAGATGGTGGCATTGGGCACGTTTTCCGACTGGATCTTCAAGCGGAGCCAGATCAGGATCCCCGAGAAGAGCAGGGGCAGGAGGAGCTCCAGGACGGTGACCAGGACCCGGCGCTTCTGGAAGGGGAAGGGGGGACGCAGCCAGCGGGGGTCACGGCGCCCTCCCTGGGGCCGCCCTTCCCGGGGCCCGGTGCACCCCGGCGTGCACCCACCTGCACGGTGTAGTTCTTCCAGAGCAGGAGTGCCAGCTGCCTGAGTGCCCCCATCTCTGTGCCCGCGGGGTGCACCTGGGGGCCGGGAGACTCCCCTCAGACACCAGCCCTCCCGCCGCGACCCCCCACCTCTCCTGGCTGCTGCGCTGACCCAGCTCTGCTCTGGCCGCTAGCAGAGAAGGGGCTCCTGGCAAGTGACCTCGTCTCCTCCCAAGACGCACCCTCAGCGACTGGCTGACCTGGGGTAAACACCACGCAGGGGTCCTCTGGTCTGGGTGCGCATGCTGCTGCCTCTCCGCTCATTCCCCTCCCCCGACTGGCTTCCCTGTCCACCAGCGGCAGCAGCACAGCGAGAGCGGAGAGCAGGGGGGGCGGGGAAGACAGGCCAGGGAGGGGGGCCTGGCCCTGCTGACTGGGGTGGGGGGAGCAGACAGGTGCGTGGAACCATGGCACTTTCCCTCCTTGAACCCTCAGGACCAGTTTTTCCTGCTTTAACCGAAAGCACTGGTATGCGTTCCCCGTGACAGAAAGAAAACTCCAAAGAAAACCTGCCCTGTGTCACACGGGAATATTATGTTTAACGCCGGTGCGCAGAGCTGCGCAGGGCTGCCGAGCGGGTGTGGGCACGAGACGGCAGGAGCGAGCGGGGTGGGGGTAATAAAGGTGCCCCCCAATCTGGGGAAACACACTTACCTAGACGTCTAGCGAGAGAAGCAGAGCCGCTCACCTGCTACAGAAGGAGGTGGGGTGAGTCAGCTCAGGAAGACTCAGGACGCGGCAGCACCGCCTTCTGGAAGCTGCTGGTGTGAAGGCCGGGGGCGACCAGGCTGTTCAGACTCAGGGTGGGCACGTGGGGGGGGCGGGGGGGGGCCCGGGTGCTCCTGTTCCCGACCGTACGGAGAGGTCGCAGGGGGAGCGTGGAGGGGCCCTTCGCGGCCCCCGGTCCTTCAGGTGAGGAGAAGCCTGTGTGACACACACCGAAAGTTGTGAATTCAAGGAACTGGCACCACACGCGGGCAGAAACACGCAACACACCCAGCGGGCGGTAAAGAGAGCGCGAAGGCTCAGACGAACGGCTGGGGACCGTTCCCTAGTGAGTGCGCTACGGACATGGCCCGTGGAAGCCACCTTGAGACCCCGAGGCGCAGTGGCAGCTCATCGGTTTGCTTCAACAGGCCAACTTCACATTGGGCCGCAGTCAGTGAAAGTCGTTTCCATGAGGGCTCTTTTTAAAATGAAGCTCTTGCTTTTTCAGGAAAGATGTGGCTGTGCAGATCTGTCTAAGGACACTTGCTCAAAATTTAGGCTTCAGAGAGTAGTCCGTAAATACTGGTGGAGAGCACGACTGTGAGCAGTTACTTACAAAGTAATCTAAAATATGCTTTTAATTAACTGGATGGTTAAAACGTGAAGGAATGAAAGCTAAAATAGTACAGAGTGCTATGAAGTGGCAACTTAATAAATTATCCAAATTCTTTCAAAATTAACAAGGTGGAAAAAGTGTCATAAACCAGTTGTGGACAGTTAATAAAAGAGCAGGGTTTAGTGAGACCCATGAGGGCCTGTGGTTTATAAGAGGTTTCCAGAAGCGGGGGAGTGTAGAGGGGGAAGCACTTCCTCCAGCTGGGCCCGGCACCCCCAGGACAGCCGGACGGGCACCTGGCCTGGCTGGGATGAACTTTCCTCCTCTGCCAACAGGGGAATATAAAAAGGTCACGGTTCAAGGAAGTCTTCTGGTCAGAGAAGTAGGTGACTTCCTTTTCTGGGGAAGTCTGGCCAAGAACGGACATGTCCCCATGCTTACTCCCGTCTCTCCCGGCTGAGGGCCGGGGAGGGCACGAGGGTGGGCCGGGCGCGTTCCCACAGTGCCTGCGAGGTGGACAGCAGCCCCCGCGAACTGACCTGGGTCCAGGGAGCGGCTCCTGGCCGCGGTGTCCCTCCAGGGCTATGGCTGGACCGGCCGGGGGGAGGCAGCTCTGGTGCGAGGGCTCTGGGGCGGGGCCTGCGGGCCTCTTGAGTGCGGGTGCGGCTGCGGCAGGGTGGCTGATGCCTCACGGGACATCAGGAGGGGCCTGGGGCTCCCTGGCATGACTCGTGGGCACCTCTGGGCGGAGGGAGGGCCCTAGAGCAGAATATGGAAAATGCTTGTGAAACGCTCTCACCAAGTTGGAACATGAAGGGTAAAACGGATTGCAGGTGTGTTCCTTAACACGCAGCAGATCTGATTACAGAGAAAGAGCGATTCAGGGGGACGGAGGCCACAGAGAAAATACTCCTGGAGCCCAGCCACCGTGCTGGGTGTTTATTTCTGTCTCCCTCCAGCACCGGGTCGGTGGCTTCGCGCATGTGCACGCGGGGCACCATCTGGAGTCCCACCCAATGCCGTACTTGCTTCTGGCCTGTTTCAGCAAAAAGGAGATTCCCAGAATTACAAAATCTGGAGAACTTTCTGGTTATGAAAGCAGATGTACACGAGGAAAGGAAGTTAAAAGTTGCTTAAAACACTCGACGCAGAGGCACAGGGTCCCTAGAAGTGGCGGTGGCTGCGACCCAGGGCCAGCCCCGTGCCTTCCACCCATGGCAAACACTCAGGTAGGGGCCACTTGCAAAGCCGCCTCCGCCCACAAGAGCGGCTGAGCACTTCCCCTGCGGGGCTCCCTTCACTCCTCAGGGTCAGAGCCACGAAAGGAAGGGAAAGCTTCCCCCTTCCCCACTGAAAGGTTTGTTTGCTCACTGTTAAAATATTAAATGTTACACAAAGTGTTGAGTATTTCGATGTTTGCTTTTTGGGTGAGTCACTGAACTGGTCCAGAGTGAGTGCACACTGTGGCCTGCTGGCTCCTGAGGGCTCTCAGAGGGGCGCGGGATTCCTCTAAAGATGGTTTTTCCCGTAACCTGCGTACGTTAGAGAGCTGTGGGCTGTGCTAGTCCTCGAGCACCGGGCTGGGCAGACGCCACGCCAGCCAGGTTCCTCAGGCCATGCTGAGCCCGTGACGCCCACACACCTCCCCTGTGCTGGGGACATGTCCCCCGCTGTCCGTATGCCCGTGCAAAATCAGGTTTCATTCTAGCACATAAGGAACAGAGCGGCGTAATGCTACCAGAGAGGTCCCTGCCGAGGAGGCCGCAGGACCAGCAAGCGGTGGTGGCCAGGGCCCCAGTGCACGAGCTCTTGTCACATCCCGGGCTCAGTGCCCAGGCCCAGAGGACGGTGCGGTGAGAAGGAGGGGTCCCCACGCCGCCGGGCATCCACGTGCCCCACAGGGAGCAGCAAGCACATCTGCTCCACGGGTGTGGAACAGAGACTGGGCCTTACTGGTGGTGCTGGCCTGGACTAGGCGCTCTTCCTGAGGACTGAGGTTGGTGAGGACCTGTGTCCGCTAGGGAAGCATTTCCTCACCGACACGGGGAGTCCACAACGGTCAGTGGTGTAAAGGTCTATGTGTGCACACTTCCAAATAGGTACTTAATTAATGCCTGTGGGTAGAATTGTGTACGATACACAAGACAAAAAGGCATGGATTCGTCCAACAAACACCTGCCCAGTTCTGGCTGTGCAAGGGGTGCTGAGGGGTTGGAAATGGAAATCATAGCATTCCTAACCCAAGAGGCTCACAGCCCACGCACGCCGACGCATCCCATAACTGCCCGGTCTCCAGCCAAAGGAGGCGTTGGGAGATTCCGGAGGAGAACGGCTTCTTACGTGTGTGTGCACGACATGGGGGGCTCTGGGAAGGCTCCCCGGAATGGGTGACAAGGGCGGCCAGTCTCAGTGTCCAGGTAGCTGGGGCTGGGGGGATGATAAGATCCCGGGGAAGTGGGAAGTGGAAGAGCATTCTTAGCGCCTAGGGAGGGAGCAGCGGGGAACGAGGAGCCAGAAAGGGAAGTGGACTGAGGCTGCAGCAGGGCGGGAGTTGGTGGGGGCGGGGACAGGCAGTAATGATGCTCCGGGTGTTCTCCTTTGCTTAACTGTTTATCTATGATCTCTGTTTTTTTTGGGGGGGGCTGTTTTTTGGGGGAAGGTGCCCAGTAAACATGAAAATGTCTAATTCACTGGATTCCACAGATACAGTGTCTACATACCAATAACGATAAAACACAGGCTGAAAACAGCAGGCGCATTTACAGAGCTCGTGCCTGCCAGCGAACCCCATGGCTGACCTGCAAGCGGGGTAAGCAAGGCGATCTGCCAGAACAGACGGTCACAAATTGCACTTGTAAGTATTTTTCTTTAAAATTGAGGGACGGATTGGCTTTAGCGACACTCAGTACACAGAAGGACCGTGACACTCCTGCTGGCCTGTGTGTCAGGGGCCATGTACCCCAGGGGGCGGGAGGGGCTCAGGGACACGGCACTGCGCACTGCTTTGCTCTGAGCCTTGCACACGTGCTGGGACTTCACATGACCCGGGATACGATGGTCAAGCCCAATGAAAACAAACAAACAAAATCATAGCTGATGCTTTACGATGCTTCGTAGGGATTTGGGAAGTGACAGGGAGGCTCAATGGTTATGTCAGGGCTCAGCAGTAAGGAGGAAATGCGGATTCTCTTTCAAGAGGCCTTTTCCTTTTCCCCAGTGGCAAATGACTGTGCAAGTCTGTCAGCTAGTTAATTTCTTTTAAGCCAACACACTCAAACCTGTCCCTTCAAGGGAGGGGTGATGAGGTGTGCGAGTTGCGGCTTTTCAAAATAACCCCTGAGCTCGGAAGGGTGTTTGGAGCGGGTGTCTGCTGCAAAAGCACCATCTACACACACGTCTACACCCACACACACCAGAAGCTCCCCTTGTCCGACAGCCCCTGAATGCCTAGGGCCCGATTCAGCGAGAACCAGCGCAGGCCTGGGGAGCGGGAGTGAACGGAAGTCTCCCGGCTGCACGTGTGGTCTGTGTGGCATCACGAGGCTCATGGCGTTCCCTGCGACACCGCCAGAACCAGGGACTGAAATAAACAGACCTTCCGACCGGGGGACTCTGGTTTCACCAAGGCTTTATAAATGGGATGGAGGGGCGCCTGGGTGGCTCAGTCAGTTAAGCATCTGACTTCGGCTCAGGTCAAGATCTCGAGGTCTGTGGGTTCAAGCCTCGTGTTGGGCTCTGTGCTGACATCTTGGAGCCTGGAGCCTGTTTCAGATTCTGTGTCTCCCTCTCTCTCTGACCCTCCCCTGCTCACACACACACACACTCTCTCTCTCTCTCAAAAATAAATAAACCTTTAAAGAATTTTTTTTTAAACAAATGGAATGGAGACTTGCTCACATGGGTTTCTTTTAAAAACAGCATATAGAGGTGGTGCCAGGCTGAGTTTGTCAGTAGAGCACGCGACTCCTGACCTAGGTGTCATGAGTTTGAGCCCCACACTGGGCACAGAGATTATTTAAAAAAAATAAAAACAGCACATGTTTTTATGGTTGATCTGGTAACATCAATATGTGGAACAAATTTAATCGTGTTCACTTTGCTCTCATCCCCTTAAAAGGTCTGTATTTCTGTATGTATCTATGACCGTGCTATCCAGGGCAGTAGTACACGGCTACACTTAACAAATAAATAAGTAAAATGCATGCGGTGCAAGCTCAAATTCTTTTACACATAGTACCAACAAGAAAAAGCTGGTGGACAACGTGTTTACCCAAGTGGCTCCTACGTGGATAAGATGGGAACAAACTCATAAGGCTTGGTCATTGTTCCAGGACCGCCAGAGGCTGGGTTCAAGGCCGTGGCCACTTGCATCGGACCACCAGGTGGTGTGCTGGCCTCACACTCACCAGCACCACCCACCTGTCCAGGGCTGGGGCAGCCGTCTCCTTAGGGTCACACAGCTCTGAGTCACAGTGAAGCTGGTCACTGGGCAGAGGTTGGGGGGGGGTGTATTTCTAAGTCAGAGGTGTGGGCCAGGAGAGGGTTCCACGAAGCCTGTGCTAGCTCCTGCCTTCCTCACCCCTGCTGGGTCACATCCCTGTCCTGTTCTGCCCCTCTACATGTAGGAGAGGAGCTGATGAGGTGCTTGAGGGCCCCCCTGGAGACAGGTAACCACGGCTCTTCTGCAGCAAGCTCATTACTCAGCTCCTGCCTGTTGACTCCGAATCTCTGAGCCATCTGGGGCACCAGTGCTGCCCAAGTCTCCCAGGACAGGGACTGTGGGACACACCCTACATTTTCCCATGGAGCTCTGGGACTTTTGGGGTCTTGTCTTCTTGGAATACCATTTCTCAGTCCAGTCCAAGCAGCCACGGACAACACTGGCTCAGGGACGCCATCCTGGCTGCACGACAGAATCTTCCAGGGGGTGCTTCAGGACAGAGACTGACGTCAGAGGCCCACCCCGGAAGATTCTGGGCTCTGGTGTGGGCACAGGAGTCATTCCTCGGTGATTCTTTTTTAAGTTTATTTATTTTGAGAGAGAGAGGAAGGGAGGGAGAGTGAGCGAGCTTACCCAAGCATGAGTGAGTGGGGGAGGGGTAGGGAGAGAGGGAGAGAGAGAATCCTAAGCACACACCACGCTGTCATCGCAGAGCCCTACTTGGGGTTCAATCTCACGAACTGTGCGACCGTGACCTGAGCTGAAATCAAGAGTCAGATGCTTAACGACTGATCTGCCCGGGCGCCCCCCGCTCAGGTGATTCTGCCGCACAGTCAGGGTTGAGCTTTTTTTTTTTCTTCCCAGGGTTGAGCTTTTGTTGGAAGCCACCCCGCCGCCTCTGGATGCCAGCAGCAGCTCTGGGATGTCTTGTTTGCTACTTATCTCAACCTGTCTTGTGTCACAGCTACTGGTGAATAAATCGTTTTCTTTAGCTCCATCCTCAGGGCCCCAAGAGCACGGATCACATCCGTTCTCTCCAGACTTCTAGAATGCTTTCCCCTTCGCTGACTGGAGAGCAGATGAGTCCACTGTCGTCTTGGAGAGCAAGGCTGGAGAAGAAACAGTCACCGGGGCCTTCCCACTTGAGACCAAGTGAAAACGGGTTCCCAGGAGACCGGCACACGCACTGTGTAAGGCTGGTGTCTTTTAAAAAACAACCTGAACTGATCCGTCTTGTTCCAAATGGCTGTCTCATCAGGATGATGGGAGATCGCCCAGAGAGGGAACGATGTCATCCTATTTGTCACAGAGGATGACCAAGTGTGCAATGGGAAAAACAATCAGCAAAGAGTTGAAAAAGGGGTGAGGGGATTCCCAGGGCATCCATTTTTACCTGTTCCCCCCCTTTTTTTTTCTTATTTTCCCTTGATGCAAACTTTCTAAAGGAAAACAACCTTGATCTTTTCGAGTTCACAAAAGGCAGCCCCAAAATGTTCTCAATCAAATGACACAGGTGTTCGGCAGAAAACCACCAGCCTGACTTTCACTTGCACCTTGCCAGGTCCGGCTCTGTCTCGGGGTTTCAGCCACCCATTCAACAAGCGTTTCCTCAGTGCCTGTCATGTGCCCGACTCTGGCTATGTGCTGGGAATGCAAGCTCTGACAAGATCCAGTGCTGGCAGTAAGTGGGCTCCAAGTTCAGGAGGCAAAGGGGCCAAGAGACAGAAATAACCCTGAATGGCGCTGGGCCACGTCCAGAAAGTGAGCAGGGGCACTCACTCGTGCACCAAATACACATCTGTCCCAAACCCTGGCGCAGGAGACAACAGCGCCCTCAGGAAGCTACAGCGCACTGTGGGAAGGCCAACACAGGTGCAAACGCAAATTCGTGCCCGACTCCAGAGATTCCTGCGAACTGTGCAGGCCTCTCCACCTAGGCCCGGCGTCCCTGCCTTTCTGTCCATCACACAATTCCCACCATGAGCAGTGTACCCCAGGCCCCCCATTCCGGCTCCCGGGAATGAGGCGGCCTCCAGGGTGGGGAAGAACTCCCCCACACGCTGGGAATCTCCCTGCACGAGGGATGAGCCAGCAGCATCCCGGCGGCCCTGCGCGGGGTCCCCGGCCTGGGGGCTGCAAGGCTCTGGCCGGGCGGATGCTTCGAGTGCCTCAGGACCAAGGCCAGCGGGTGCCGCCTGTCCCCCCCCTCCCGGCTCGGCACAAAGGGTGCGGGCGGCGCGTCCAGCTCCGGGGCCGGCGGGAGGGAGCCGCTCTCAGGGAGGGGGACACGCCCAGAGGGGAAGCCAGGGTACCGGCGGCCTGGCGCTGCCGCCCCGGGAGGTGCACCTGCCGCGCAGGGCGGGGTGCCGGGAGGAGGACGGCCGTGGACTGACGGGCCCGGGGCGGCCACGGCAGGAGGGCGGCCGGGCGGGGGGCTGCCGCGAGCCCCCGGAGCAACCGAGCGCGCGCGGCGGGGCGCAGCGGCACTCACCGACCCTCGGCGCCAGGGCGGCGGTGGCCGGCGCGCTGCCCTCTCGCGGGGTCCCCGGCCTCGGGCCCGGCTGCGCTCGGCCTCGCGGCGGCGGCGGCGGCAACGACCGCCGGTAGTGACAGCGGCTGGGCCGCGGGGCGGGGAGGGGGCGCCTGCAATCCGCGGCGGGGACGCACCAGGCTGCTGGAACTCCTGCAGGGGGCGCGCCGGCCGGCTCGCGCGTGCGCAGTGCGCCGACCCTGCGGGTGCCCAGCCCGCCCGGACGCCCCGCCCCACCCGCGCCTGCGCAGAGCCTGCGCGCCGGCGCGCGGCCGGCAGGAGGCGCCGGGCCCCCGGCCGCGCGAGGGCGGGAGCGGGCCGCGCGTCGTGGCGAGCACCTGCGCTTCCCAGCGGCCGTCGCCGTCGCTCCCCGAACCTCGACCTTCCCCGGCCGTTCAGACATTTCCCCCGGCATTGTTCATCTTTGGTCGCGGAGGGAGCGCGATTGGCCGCCTCGGGCCTGGCTCGGACTGGCGGGCGGGGAGGCCCTGGGGGCGCTGGAGAGAGCGCGAGGAACCTTCTAGAAAACGGCCTCAGGGTGGGTTGGAAGGCCCAGCATCCTGCGCTGTGTCCAGGCGTCGTGGGGCAGAGTGGAGCTGGACCGGGAGGCCTGGGGGTGGTGAGTCCAGGTCGGGGTCCCCTCAGCAGGAAGGTCGTGGGTGAGAGTTGTTAAAATCTGAAACAAACGGAGACCTGCCTTGTAGGGTCCCTGAACCGACAGAGCCAGTTTAGTCCCGGGGGCAGAGCTTACCGTGGCGGTTTTTGGCAGGGCGAACTTGACCTGGATCATTTCTTGCTCGGGCCTCTGAAAATGATGAGCCAAACGTGAGCGATGCCGAGGTTGATAGGCGGCCCCAGAAGAGTGCAGTTGTAACCAAGCGCTGTGGCGAACAGTCGCCGCTGTCCCGCCGCCGGCGCCCCGCAGCCCCCTTCCCGGTCTGCACGCTCATTCTGGGGTGTGCGCAGTAAAGTCTGACTGGTCGCCACGTCAGGGAGTCATTGGTTTTACTTTGGCTGTTTTGAGTCTTTGACAGGGTCCGGGTCACCTCCGACGGGAGGGTCCCTCAGGAGGGATACAGGTCAGCCTGGGGGCACCTGGGGCTGAGAGGGTCCTGAGGTGGGGGTAAGGTCAACTACGGATGGGAGTGTCCTGAGGCAGGGCAGAGTCACCGGAGAGGTCCCGAGGCCAGGCAGGTATCCCCTGGGGCAGGACGGCCCCGAGGCTGCCCAGGGATCCCCTGGGGGACGGCGAGGTCGCGTGGCAGGGGCGGAGCGGGACTGGGCGAGGGGCCCGGGCCGGAGTCTCGTGGGCAGGGGAGGCGCGGGACCAACGGTCGCCGCGGGCCAGCCCATTCGGGTCCCCAGCGCCCGGACTGAGGGCCGCCAGGCGCCTACGACTCAGGACCCTCCGCGGCGGAGGCGCACCTGGCGCTCAGCCGCCCGGCGGCCGCGCTTCCCCGCAGCAGTCCCGGGGCGCACGTGGGGCGCCGCCTGCGGCCAGCCCGGCTCCGGCCGCTCCGAGGGCACCTCCGCGATCCGGACGCTGCCGACAGAACCGTAAAGTAATGACCGCAGTCGGGAGCTTCTGCCCCAGCCACCCAAAGACCCCCATGGATTAGTGATTGAGGGGCTCCTTGTCTTTTACCATCTGACGTGGTGCTGTTTACTTACCACTATGTTGCCTTTCCTTCCCTCTGCCTCCCTCGCCACAACATGGGCTCCCCGAGGAAAGGGGCTTTGTCCACTTGACAGCTACATCTCAGGGTCCCGGGGATGCCTGGCCCAGAGGGGGCACTTGGTAAATATTTGTTGGATGAAAGAGTCAAAAGACCTGGTTCACATCTGGACCTGGCCCTTTACCTAGTGCGGGAGTGTCATTTGACTTTTCTGACCCTCCCCTAAAATCAAAACGATAATTCTAGTAATACCAAACTCTAAAGTATTTTGTCTTAGGGTCAAATGAGAAAATACATAAATGCTTATCACAATGCCTGACGCACAAATGCAAAAGAAATGATAGTGCCTTGTGGCTATAGCTAGAGATTTACACAGCCTGGCCTCTATAAGGAGCATACAAAAAGCCCAAAACAAAACCAACAAATACCAAATAAATAACCCAACCAACCAACCAACCAACCCAAAAACTACCCAAAACCAAACCTAACCAAACCAAAAAATCAACTGAATGCAATTATAAGATAGGTGTGTATGTATGTGTGTGTGTGTGTGTGTGTGTGTAGGATTATTAATGTGTTGCAAGCCTCTTAAAGACCCTCTCTCCCCATCGTTCCTCACAGACTGAACCCCCTCCTTCCCAAGCCAAGTGTCTGCCCGGAGACTCTATGGGCCTGGCTGACTAGCCTCTTCCTCACTCAATCTTTCTTTCAAGAACCAATCCTTGCCATTTCTAAGTTATACTGGTTACACCTTGCAGTGTTTTCCCCGGCCCTTTCTAAACCTGAAAGGGTCCTGCATAACCAAATCCAGGAACAGAGCTGGCTCACTCAGACTTCCCTCGGATGGAAGGTGAAGGTGAGAGCACAGGAAGAGAGACCATGAAGACTGAGACAGACACATGCAGAGTACTGATTTATACCTTTGTTCTTAATCCTGTTAGGGTGCTTCCATGGTAATTATTATTAGTCATCATATTCATGAACTGAGAGGGTGTGAAGGTCAGTGGCAAAGGAAGATATTCTGTGGGAAGATTCCAGGTTCCAGACACCTGCTCACAAACAACTGTGCGCAGAGGGCTGGGCCCTTCTAATATTTCTCAACAATCCCTTCTCTGCTCAAGGCCCATTAAACCTGGATGCTCTATCTGGTGTCCTTCCAACTAGGGGCTTAGTTAAGGGTCCTAATCCGCTCAAAGTCACACAGTAGAGGTGAGACTGGAAGCCAGGCGTTCAGGTTCCTGAGCTCTTTAACAATCTCTAGTATGTAAATTACATTCATAAAGCGTGAGATCACACTGAGGAATTGCATGGGATGCTCCATGGGATTCCCGTGGCTCAGACATTTCTCAAGATGGATGGCAAAATGGGGCGCCTCAGTGGCTCAGTCGGTTAGGCGTCAGGCTTGGGTTCAGGTCATGATCTCGCAGTTCGTGAGTTCAAGCCCTACATCAGACTCTGTGCTGACAGCTCAGAGCCAGGAGCCTGCTTCAGATTCTGTGTCTCCATCCTTCTCTGCCCTTCCCCTGCTCACACTCTGTCTCTCTCCCTCTCTTAAAAATAAACATTAAAAAAAAAGATGGGTGGCAAAAATTAAAGCCCATGGTGGCACTCATAAACAAAACTATGGCTTTACAAAAGGCAGTAAACCTTATCATTGCAAAAGTTGGCTGGCACATATATATACTTACACACACTATCTGCATTTTAAAAAGGAAACCGATGACATCAGCTCCTATTTCTTTTGCAGGGGCACAAATACTATCTCCCTGTCTAACTGTATCTGTATATCTTATATATGTACTTTCCCAAGTTGGTGGTATTCAATGCAGCATTTTTAGAATAGGATTTCTCTGATTGTTTCCATAGGAACAATGTTATAATTGGAGGATTCATTCTAGACCAAGGGCTGTATACATACTCCTTAATTTGCGATGGAGAGGAATTAATATTGTAGAGGATAAAATATGGTTATGGACTCTGGTCACGCAGCCCCAAATCGAATACCAGCTTTTAATGCCTCACGTCACCTCTCTGTCCCTTGGCTCCCTTGTGTAAAGCGGGGATCACATAGTACTCACTTCCTAGGACTGCTGTGAGCAATCACAGCATAAAGACACACAGAATATTTCAAAGAGTGTTTGGCACTTAGCAAGGGACCAGTTCCTAGTTTAGGGGAGATTCTGAGTAAAGCCTTGTATTAATAATTTGTATGCAGGTTCTTGTGTAAAAAGTTTTCTTGTGTTGGAAAATAAAAATTAATTTCACTTATAGGTAAAAACCTAGGAATAGGATTGCTGAGTTGTATGGAAGTGTGCATTTAGATTTAAAAGAAACTATAAGAAACTGCGAAAATATTTCCCCACATCGCCGTGCCATTCTCCATCAGCCGTGGTGGTATATAAGAGGTCCAGTCGCTCCGTAACTTTGCCATCTCTTAAAATGTTTTTTTGGTCATTCTAGTAGCTATGTGGTAGTATTTTATTGCAGTTTGAATCTGCTTTTCCTAATGGCTGATAATGCCGAGCAGCTTTTCATGGATATACATATATATGTATATACACACATCCTTTTTGGTGCAACATCTCTTAAAAATTGGGTTGTTGGGGCGCCTGGGTGGCGGCTCAGTCGGTTGAGCATCTGACTTCGGCTCAGGTCATGATCTCACGGTTCGTGGGTTCGAGCCGCACGTCAGGCTCTGTGCTAACAGCTAGCTCAGAGCCTGGAGCCTGTTTCAGATTCTGTATCTCCCTCTCTGACCCTCCCCTGCTCATGCTGTCTCTCTCTCTCAAATAAATAAAACATTAATTTTTTTTAAAAAAAATCATTGTACCCAAAACATTTTTTTTTAAAGAAATAAAAATTGGGTTGTTTTCTTACTGTTGAGTTTTGAGAGTTTTATATATTCTGGATATAGCTCCTTTGTCAGATAAGCAACTTACAAATGTTTTCTCCCAATCTGTGCCTTGTTTCTTCACCCTGTTAATCTCTTGCAGAGAAAGAGGTTTTAATTTTGATGAAGTCCAAGTGGTCAATTTTTCTTTTATGCTTTTGGTGTCATAGCTCAGGAATCTTTGTGTAATCTGAGGTCATGGAAGACATTCTGGTGTGTGTGTGTGTGTGTGTGTGTGTGTTCTGTTAGAAGTGTGAGTTTTAGGCTTTGCAATTAGGTCAATGCCCTATTTTTTTTTTAAAGTAGGGTCCACACCCAGCATGGAGACCAAGGCGGGGCTTGAACTCATGACCCTGAGATCAAGACCCGAGCTGAAATCAAGAGTCAGATGCCTGACTGAGCCACCCAGGTGCATGCCCCTCGATGCTCTATTTTGTATAATGGATTGAGGTATCGACTCAAGTGGAGGTTTTTCCCCCCATACGTGGATTCCAGCTGTTCCACCACCATCTGTGTGAAAAACACACTTCCTTTTTCTACTGAACTGTGCTTTTATGGAAAATTGACCACACGCGTGAAGGTCTATTTTTCACTTGTTCCATTTTGACCCGTTCCACTGATCTGTGTATCTTTGACCTTTTAGTCCAGGGTTTGGTGTAATTTTTCTGTAAAGCACCAGATAGCAAAATTTTTAGGCTCTGCATGCCAAGAGGCAAAATTCAGGATATCATACAGAAACTTGTTATATAAGACACAAGTGTCCACAAAAATTTTATGAGTCACATTTGATATAATAATTGAATATGTATACTTTTTGCAATATGTATCTACTAACGAGAAAATTGGAGTTCTTTTTTTATGGGATAACATATGGCTTTGCTGGGGTACAAAGATAGCATTCCCTACCATCAAAATTTATTGTAAATGTTCATCTGTTAAAGCTGACTTGTAGTACGATTTTGTGTGTTTCACCATGAATATAACTTCAATGGAGTGTATTCATGGCTTGAAAGGCATTGATAGAATTCTGTTAGATTCCTCTCTTGATAGTTG